ATCAAGACAGGGTTTTTCATGAATGAAGAGCAGTATTACTCTTAAGGGAGATGACAGCTTTTGACTTGAAGGCAACTTTAATTTTATTTTCTTGCTTATATATGTATTCTGCAGCACCTCATTTTAAGAATTTAAATGAAATTTATAAAAATACAATGACATTTACATTTTATATTATTCCTTAACTTCAAATACCAGAAATCATTTAATTACAAAATTTTTTTATTGAAATATAGTTGGTTTACAATGTTGTGTTAATTTCTGGTGGCTAATACAGTGATTCAGCTATATATATATTCCTTTTCATAGTTTTTTTCATTAAAGATAATGAATATAGTTCCCTGTGCTGTACAGTGGGACCTTGTTGTTTATCTATTTTATGTATAGTAGTTAGTATCTGCAAATCCCAAACTCCCCACTTTATCCCTCGACCTGCCCCTTTCCCCCTGGGAACTGTAAGTTTGTTTTCTATGTTATGTGGGTTGGTAAGAATCATTTAATTTTTAACATTGAACACAACTTAACACTGAGATAATTGGGAATACAATTTATTGTGTTATTTATATTCTTTACCAAAATTCAGGCTGAAGTTTACAGAAATAAGTACTTAGAAAAAGAAGGGTGGCTTTCATGCCCTCCCAGTAGACTCATTTTTGTCCTGAGGCCTGTGTTTTCTGTCTGCATTAGCTTTTTATAATTGTATATGTTAGCAGCCACCAAATTATCCATGTAAATTGTCTGACTCTGACTCTGTAATACCCAAGTTCTTTTCTTCGCCGAGATTAGTGAGAAAAAGTTAGAGTTGACTATATTCATCTGGTCCTGGGAACTAATGCATTGCATTTAGAAAAGTAATGTTTTTATTTGCTTAGAGTTAATGTTTTCAGCTATGATATGTCCCAGTTTACCTTGATAGGTTAAATCTCATGAAAAAATTTTGGCATAGTCTTTTTTTTTAATTTCTCTTTGAAATGAACTCATATGTAATGATAAATAAGCCATCTTTGTGGTATTTAAAGAATATTTTTTGCCATTTATTCAGCTCTGTTTGCTTGACTTTTTTTTCCTGTATACTAGTCAAACCATTCTTCAGTTCATTTCAGTTCATTTCTTTTCTCTATTCTTTTAATTTGTCTGCCCAATTAGCATTTTCTGATGCAGTTTTGAAATTGTCATAATTATCAGGATTCTGCAGAGATGGGAGATAATCCTGTATGCAGATGCTGACATGACCTTTTTCAGTTGTGTCATTGTATGAATCTGTAATGTTTTCTCAACCATTTTGGTATTACTGCTTCCTAGATTTCTTGATTCAATTGGATCAACCTTCATATGGCTTTTTAGGGTCACCCAGATACATATTCGTTGAAATGAGACTTAAGTGTAGGGTTTTCCTGATTGTTTAACGGTTTCTCCTCACTTCCTGTCACCTACTTACAAGGAAAAAAATACAGTTAAGATATTTTCAAAGATCAGTATTCAAAAGTGTGTTGTTAAGCTGATAAGCTGCATTTTGAATTTAAGAGAGAAATTCACACCTTGATCAAAAACAAAACTACAATATAACTCTTGCCTCTCTTTTCAGAAATGACAATTTTCCCTCAGTATAGAAGTGATTGGCCATTAACAGTTGTGAACAGAATCTGTTTTGTTAGCCAGTTACCACATGTCACAAGTCTGAAATCAGGCCTCTCATGTGGTTAGTTCTGAGGTGGAACTGGATCATTTTAGCACAGCTTCTCTGAAGGATAAATAAAACACCTTCCATTTAGTACGATTCAGTGTTTGTGGAGGGCCTGGTCTATGTGAGGTAATCTGCTGGGAACTAGTGTCTTTTAAATTCCAGCCAGTTCGACCCTTAAGGGCAGATTTATTCCAAAGAGATAAAGGACTGTGTCAGGGAAGAAATTTTTATCTGTCTTAACTAGCTAATTCAGTGGAAGTTATTTTTCAAAATTTGAACGCAACGTTTTCTTTCTAAATTATAGTTAAGAGTTAATGATGATTACCGGGACCAGCAATTCCTTGAAAATCTACTCTGCACTAAAGATTAAAACACCAAATGAAACATGTAGTGTTTTCTTTTTCCACACGTGGTGTCTAACTAAAGTCCTTGAGTCGTTTGGCAAATATTCTATGAGCCCACTGCGAAAGCATGGCACAGTGCGAGTTCACAGTGGAATTGCTTTGGGAGACAACACAAATGCACAAGTGAAAGGGTACGCAGTGCACAAGAGTGGGGCACAGGGTTCCAGCCTTGCCTCTGCCTCTTACTTCTACCCTGGACAAGTTACTTCATCTTTGTACATGTCAGCTTCTCATTGTAGAATGGAAGTAAGTGTACCTATCTGATAGAATTGTTGTCAAAATTAGTATGAGATCATGTATATGAAGTGCTTAATGCAGTGCTTGGCACTTAGTAAGTCTCAATAAATGCTGATCATTATCGTAGTCGCCATCATCATCATCACCATCATTTGGATGCTTGTTCAGCCAGTGAGTTCTGGAGGAGGAAGGCAGCAAGCACTTAGGACTGGAGTAGGTGGAGAAGGCTCTCTGGAGGAAGTGAGACTTGAGCTGGACTTTGGAGAGGCAGAGAAGATAGGAAGGACATTAGGGAAGTTGGGGGAAGGAAGAAGCATTTTAAAAGATCCGGGCGTGGAATGTTCGTAATACATGTGAGACGGCAGATGTGGCATTGAGGGCACTGGTTCTCGTCTGAGTTACCATGTTGGTCCTTTGTGTGGTAGGCGTTGTGGAGAAAGGCCAGGTTTCTCGTCACAAGTAGTGTTTCCATGGGCAGGTCAGTTATGGCTTTGGGTCTTAGAAGGAGTTTGGGTAAAACTGGAATTTATTATGAGAATTTAAGACCATATGGTAAGTGTAAACTTTGTAGCACTGTGCCTGGCACATAACTGCTCATTAAATGGTAGCAACTACTGTGTGTTCACTCAGTAAATGTTACTGAATGCTTGCTGTATGCCATCCTTGACTTGACTTGGAAACTGGGGATTCAGTGACAAAATAGATGATATAATCTTTGTAAATGCATAGAGTTTACAATCTAGTGGAGGAGATGGCTAGCTCAGCAATTACATACTTGAGATAGCGGCGGGAAAGTCATGTCCAAGTTAGGTATTCAGGTCAATTTTTGGTTGAGATAGTGAACGATTGCATGCATTTTCAAAAATTTAATCTCTGTGTTGTAAAACGTTAACTCAAATTAGAATCCACTCATGCTGATTCACACATCTCTTCCTTTTTTTTTTTTGGCCCAGAGCATAAATGTTTTTATGTAATGATGATACAGGTTATTTGCATGTTATGATTCAAAATCAAAGAGGCAAGTTTATGAGGAAGTTTTATTTAAATAAGAAAATTTATTTATGTTTGAACAAGATTGTTACTAAACTAAGTTATTAGCAGTTTAGAACTGTTTCACTGTCTACTTAAATAGGTTTCTCAATTTAAAGCAAATTCCTGTGGGAGATTCACAAGCAGGCAACACTATCCTGCTCTGAATTTGACTGTTTAATAGCAAAGGTCCTGACACAAATCCTGTAAGACCTCTGATTTAGTGACTTTTCTTGTAAACAGAGTTAAGTCCCAGGGGTGAAATAATCTGAAACAAGGATGCTGTCATTCCTCATATACCTGGAAATTCCCTCGGAAAAATTTAACAAATATTTCCACTTGAGAAACTAGGTACATTTTTTTGAAGCACCATGCTTCATTTGAGTTTGTCCCAGTTATTAATACATAATTAATGATAATTGTTAATACTACATAAAGCTGGCGTATTAAAAGAAAAAACAGGTCCCCAAAACAAGAGAGATTTTATATATTTTGAGGAAGATTCTAAAAATAGGTAGCTGATTAAAACAGATTTTTTTAATTCTAAAAATTTCAGGAAGATTATTTTGTTTTCTCAAGTTAACTCTTTCTTATTTTTCTTTCTAATTTTTTTCTCTCAGTCTCCTACAAGTAATTTCCCTCCCCACGTTCTTCGTGAAGTATAATAATCCCAAAGGGTTTAACTGCTTTGTTAAAGATCTTAAAGTCTTTTTAAAAAATTCATAGCATTCTGTTTGGAAATGAGATGGATGTTCAGTATGGTGTAGATAGGCAAGTATGAAAAAGCTGAACATTTTTGGGGTCCATTTTTTTCCTGATTGCGTTTCCTCTTCTGGATTGAAACACTTGAGATGTCATGACCAATGTTTATATTTTGCTCAATAGTTTGGAAATTGTTTTGACAGGGTTTCGCACTTTGAGGTCCCCGCTGGGGGCACCAAGAAATCCAAATGGAGCAAGCAGAAGTATAGGAGTAACATGACCCCTTAGGCCATCTGGTCAGAGGAAGTCCATGAAAATGGAAGATCTCGCTGCCGTAGTTCAGGTCCCCAGAATAGAAACCATATTTGTTCTTAAGTGAGTGGGGTCAGTTCTGTACTTTGTGACCAGAATTTATTGACGATACGAGGACTGGGAGAGTCCTTATTCTTTTTTAAAGAAAAGAAGATATTGTAGAAGGTGCATTCGAGTCTTTTTCTATCCATTTAATACCTGCTTGAAATACTTGTAAGTTTGCTATGAGATGGCTGAGGGATAAAATTTTGGTCTTAAAACTTCTGAAGTAAATTTCAGAATTAAAATGTAAAGTCTTTCTGATTTTGTGGAATTTAAATTGGTAGTGTCTTGTTCACATAGTTATCTCGCTAGGAATATGCACTGCCTAATCTAGCCTTAAAAAGGAAAAGATTTACTTCTGTATGTCATTGAAAGTAAAGAACAGTTTCCATCTGATTACAGGGTTGACTTTGGCATATGTTTTAGTAGTGGTGCTGATGTGTAACTAAATACATAGCAGCTTTTTACTGTTTTGCATTTCAAAGTCCTAGGTACAAAGATCCCTGGTTATCGATAATTCCATTTTGCTGATACTTTAATAATAGAATATTGTGTGTTTTCATTTAACACTGTTACTTTTGAAGCCATATGTAGTTTCAGGGGAGGGGAAAAAAAACCCAGTACTGTAGTTTAATAATAATGCTGATACATGATTTTCTTCTTTCTTAATAAATCATTGTATTTTATTGGATCTGATGCATTTTGTGTCTCTTTGATATCTGACATATAGACTCGAATTAAAGCTCACCCCTTATTCTTATGCTGCTTTTGCATCATTAATAGACAAATACAGAGTTACAGTTAATGGGAAGCTTTTAATGCCATTTTCTCAATTGTCGCGGTCTTTTTTGTGTTTATGTAGCTTGCACCTTCTCTTCCTTTACAAGAAGATTTCGTGTATCACTGGAAGGCAATTACTCATTACTACATAGAGACTTCGGGTAAGAAACAATGCTAATATTAATTAAACAGAAAATTTGTGAAATATTAAAATATATTTCAAGCTAGTTTTCAAAGTTATTTTACATTTAAACTTATAAACAATTTATTTTACTTTTAATTCCTCTCGTAAATTCATTCAAAAATAAATCCATTGAACACCTGTTATGTGTAAGCGTTGTTCTAGGCACTGGGAGATACAGCACTCAGACCAAAATCTCTGTCGTAACAGAGCTTGTATATCGATTAGAGGGAAGCAAACAGTAAGTACACAAATGCATACAGTGTGTCAGATGACAGTGTTAAGAAGGAAATGAAGCAGGCTAAGAGGGATGATAGAAATGTGTGTTGGGGCAGTGAGGGGAGGCAGATGGCAGTTTCAGATTAGAGAAAACCTCATTGTCTGCGGTGACTTCTGAGCTGAAGTCTGAAGGCGGGAGGAAACGAGTCTGGGGAAAATGTCCCAGGAGAGTACACAGTGCACCAGCCCTGAGGCCCGAGCAGGCCGCATACGTGGCATGTGCTAACATCTTCCAGGAAGCCAGCGTGGCTAGAGCAGAGTGAGCAAGAAGAAGGAGAGGAGATCGCATTAGACAGGTGGCGCCCTGTGAGCTATTATAAGAGTTTTGCCTTTTACTCTAAGATGGGAAACCATTGAAGAGTTTTGAGCAGAGGTGTAAAATTATCTGTCTTAAAGGGCTCACTTTGGCTTCTGTGAGAAAATTAGATTGAGAGCATGCAGGGAAGCTGCGAGAACAGTTGGGGGTTTGCAGTGGTCTGAGAGATGCCGGCCTTTTGTTTAGACCAGGGTGGACGTGGTTAAGAGGTGACTGTAGTCTGGGAATATTTTGAAGAAAGCTTTGTTGATGGATTGACTATTGGGTATGAGATAATAAGAGTCAAGGATAACTACAAATGTTGGGGCTTAGGCAGTTGGAGAAATAGAAAGGCCTCACTGGGAATGGGGAGATTGCAGGAGGAGCAGGTTTGTAAGAGCATTTTGGACAAATTCAGTTTGACACCCATTATATTTCCAAATGGATATGTCAAGTAGACAGGAGGAGATAGGACTCTGAAATTCAGGGTAGAAGCCTAAACTAGACATATGGAATTGAGAGTCATCAGCATTTAAGCAGGATTTAAAGCCATGAGACTGGGTGAGATTATGTAGGGATAGCTAAGGATAAGTGGAAGAGAAAGTGTTCAGGAATTGAGCCTTTGTGTGCCATGTTTAGAGAACGGGGAAATGAGAGTGAGAGCAAAGGAGATTTTGCCTTTGTCCGTGAGGTAGAAGACAGCCAAGTAGAGAATGGTATCCTAGAAGCCGGAAGAGGAGAGAGCGATCAGTGTGTCAAATGATGCTGATGTCAAGTTGATGAAGACTAGGAATGGATCATTGGATTCACCACAAGGACTTCATTACTGGTCCTGATAAGAGCCATTTTAATAGCAAGGACAAGAGAGAAGGCCTGATTGGAGTAGGTTTAAGAGAAAATGGACAGAGAACGTGTGTAGAGAATACATGTAGAATGCTCTCTTGAAGAGTGTCAGTGGAAAGGAGAACTGAGAAGAAGAGCAACAGCCGCAGAAAGAAGTGGCGTCAAAGGGGTTTTTACTGTTTTTAAAGATGAATTATTATGCATGAATAATATTCTTGCATAATAATATACGCATAATAATATTCTATGCTTGTAGAATTTTCTTTCAGAATATAGATTGTTTTTGAATAAGATATAAACCTCACTTAAGTGTATGTCGTTCAGATTTTTCTCAATTTGAAAAAGAAGAAGGAAATATAAAGAGTAAGAGTATTTTTGGTATAAATGTGCAGATTAAAAATGTTTGAATATTTGATGAGTGTTTTTATTGTTTAGATGATAAAGCTCCAGTGACAGATACAAATATTCCATCTCATCTGGAACAGATGTTAGTAATATTGGTACAAGAAGAAAGTGAACGGGAATTTGGAGAGACGGGGCCATGTATGGAGTATTTACTTCATCACAAGATCTTGGAAACGTTATATACCTTAGGGAAAGCTGATGTAAGTTCCTAATGCACATCATATTCTTGGGCATGTGATATATGCATTCATGTCTTAGAGATAAAGAAGCTGCCAAGCACTAAATTTAATTACAGAGGTACGTATTAAGCATGGCAGGATTTATATCAGTCTGTGAAAAAAAGAGAAAGTGTACGGCCTATATGAATATGACTTTCCGTAGAGATGGCAAAGCTTCCAAGTGCTTTAGACAGCAGCTGGTCCTACTTAGGCTGCTTAGAATTAAATGCTTATGAAAAATAGACTCAAGTGCACATGCTCAGAAGCAAAGAATGTGAGAAGGAACCCAGTGAAAACTGGGTTACAAAAATCAGAATTATTTTTCATACTCCTGAAAGAGACTGTCACTGATTATATTCTGACATTAACTACTGATGAGTGGAGCCAGTTCAAGTAAATCTCTGGTTAATCTTCCTCCTCTTTAAAACAAGGAGGTGATCACCAAAGGACCTCTCCCACCTCTCCCCAAAATCTGTGGTTCTGTGCTCTGAATTTCTAGAATATATGTGAAAATCAAACTAAAGCCCCCCCCCGCCAACTAATAGATATGTTTGAACAACAAATAGAATTATGAAATAGAATTCAAGACAGTTTCCTTTTAACTAACTCTATAGTGCTCCAGTTCATTTTGGGGTTAAATTCATTTAGTTTATGTTTTCCAGGCAACATCTCTGTTTGCACATATCCTACAGTTCATTCCCCTCCTCCCTTCTTTTTCCTGTCCTTTGGAAAGATGGATTGTGCAACATTAAATTGAGAAAAATATTAGTTGATTTTTAAGCAAATGTTAGTAATTTTAGTTCTAGTAAATTTATTTTAATATTGATGATTGTAAATACTGTGTTTATCTGAATAATTGAAGGTATTTGCTATCTTAAAATATTATCGTGCTTAAGGTTATAGCTTATGCTATTTCCAGATAACATGTCTATGAAGATGTGTTGGAAATATTTATTGTGTGACTATATTTTAAGTCTGAGGCAGTCGAAGGTTAATTATATAACCTTGTTAATTCATACTCTTAATCTTCAACATGAATAATTGTCAGGTGTACCTACTTTTCAGCAAATATTTAAAATAACTGGTATGTTATCAAAATTTATTTATTAAATATTCATTGCCTATGATAATCATAATGTAAATAATTTTGTAACTAATTTAAAACAATGTTGTTTGAATAAATCACGGCAGGTTATACATAGGATTCCTTTGTTTACGTACGTGTGTTAGAAGGCTTTATTTACTCCTACATATATATGATGGAAAGTTGTTGATTACCTGTCATTAATGTAGGAGACAAGACTCTCCCTTTGCTTTGGCCAGGGAGTTTCATGTTACCCTAGCATTTAGAATATAATCAGGTTGGCATTGCCTGAACCAGATACGTATCTCCACAGCGGCACGTTATCAGCATGCTGTTTGTAACTACATCAGCCTGTGGTCTCATACGCTACATTATAATCCCATGTATAATTTTATTTATAGAATACTAGTCAATAATATGAGATTGAGAATTTTATTCTGACAAAGTCATTAACTGGTTAATTGCATTGACTTTTGAAGGTGGAATATATTCACATACATTGTCTCCTGTTTTTAAAATTTTTTAGTAAGTATGTTTGCATTGTCTGTTCTTTCCTTTTTGCTTTTCTTTTTTCCTATATCCAGTGTCCTCCAGGAATGAAACAGCAGGTTTTGGTATTCTATACCAAACTTCTGGGGAAAATCCGGCAGCCACTACTTCCACACATTAATGTGCATAGGCCCGTGCAGGTATTTCGTTCCCTTACATAAAACTGTTTGGTTTGCTTCCTTTAATGTAGAAATAATTTTATATGATTTTTTAAGAGTAAAAATAACGAAGGAAATTATTCTAAAAATAACATGCAAATTAGCAAATACTTGAGCTTTCTTTATGCATGACATTGTATTAAATGCATTTCTTGTCTTTGTATTTCTCTTCTAAAATTTTACACATTCATTTTACCTTTAACTTATTTCCGTGACATCTCAAGAAGAGTTTATTATATACCTCATTAATTTTTTAAAGTAATATATTTGAAAAATTTCTTACTAGCTAATTTATTTTGATATAGGTGATGGTAAGTAGTGTTCTTTCTGAAAAATGCAAAATATTTGCATTATTTGAAAATTTTAAATATCCTGAAGATAAATGGATGGCTGCCTACATGCTTGTAAAAAGTAATCTAAGTTTAAAAATTTGTTTTGAATTTTTTGACAGAAATTAATTCGACTATGTGGTGAAGTCCTTGCAACACCAACAGAAAATGAAGAAATTCAGTTTCTCTGCATTGTGTGTGCAAAGCTGAAACAAGATCCCTACTTGGTTAATTTTTTTCTGGAGGTATGGTATACTTCTTGTAGACCTTCAAAGTGTGCATATATTAAAATGATCATGAAAATGGAATTCTATGAATAATACTGGAAGGAATTACATTTTGTAGGTATCAAAAAGCTTGTTTTACTTCTCAGAATTATTTTCGTTTAAGATCACTGTTTTATTTTAACTTTAAATCTCCTGAGAAAAATGATTCTCAAAGAATGTGATTGAGCCAGATACACAGGGCTGGACAAACACAGAGCCAAGACTTAGAAGGAGAGCAGCTTGAAGGGCAAATCAGGAAGAGAGATGTCACGGGAATTTATAAGCTATCATGTTTTCAGCCAGGCCTGCTCTAGTGTGGCGTGTGGGTAATCTGACCTGGGGTAGGGATGGTGTGTACGCATTTGGACAAGATGTGAAAAATCACGAGTTACCACCCCACCCCGTTATAGCATTTGGGATTGCTCAGTACTGTTTTGTACTGTCTTTTCATAGCCATAGTCACTGAATCATAGTTTATGTAAATCAATTTCTATTTGGATTTTACTTACAGTTTTAAATTAGAAAATAATTTTTGTGTATTTTCTGGTTTCATTCCCCATTATTTTTAGCAGTAATTATTTAGAAAAAAAATTTTTTTTAGTTAAAAAATACATATTATATATTTAGTATAAGGTATAAGTTACTTGCAGTACAATTCACTCTTTCTGCCCTGTGAGTCTCTGAGTTTGACAAACACCTCCAGTTGTGTAACCATCACCACAGTCAAGATGCGCAGCAGGTCCACCACCTTACCTTGTGTCCCTTCCTGGTCATCCTGTTTCCATTCTGCCCCTAGCAATATTGATCTGTTTTCTGTCCCAAATTCTCTTTTTTCCAGAAAGTCGAAAACATAATTAGCCTTTTGAGGCCTTTTATAATTCACATAATGCATTTGAGAGTCTTCCGCGAGGTTGGCCCCTTATTTTGCTGAGTAGTATGCCACCGTATGGAAGTCCCATAGTTGTTTATCCATCCACTGGTTTAGGGACTTATGGGTTGTTTCAGGTTTTGGGCACGTATGAATGAAGCCTCCAATATAGTCACAGATTTTTGTGTGGATTTAGGTTCTCATGCCACTTGAGTACCTAAGATAGGATGTCTGGATCATGTGGTAAGTGTGTGTTTGCCAAACTTCTCCCAAGTGGGCTTATCATTTTGCATCCCATGGACGACATATGAGAGTTCCGTTGTTTCATATCTTTGCCAGAGTAGATGTTGTCAAGGTTTTTTTTGTTTTGTTTTTTAAAATTTTAGCTTTCTGAATAGATGGACTCATTTTTTATTCCACTTTACTGAATAAATAATTCAGGACCCTATTTTGCATTCTTACTGGAGGTAAGCCAGCAACCCGACTGCAAAATTGCGGGAATTTAAATTTCCAGGTTACTGTTAAGGACTATGAATGCCTGTTTTTCATGACGTGTCATATTTTGATAGTTTGCTTCAAAATGACTGGAATAGCCTTATGATTTCAGATTTGAAAGATTTATTAATGAGGGTGATATTACAATCTTTTTAGTTTTTATATAAATATATCAAATATTGCAATTTGGCTAAGTGTGCAATTTTTCTTCTCTAAGTTCATTTTTACTCAAATTTTCTTAGATACCTAAGTTACTTTAGCTGCATAGATTTTTTTCCAAGCTTAAGCTTTATAAAGAGTTTTTCTCAGCATCTCTGAAGCTTGTTTCAGAAGTACACAGCCATAGATGAGAAGCAGAGATTTGCAGGCATTTATGTTTAGACTTAAATACAAAGAACACCCTTCTGAATTAGTGCTATGTCTGCTCTAATGCGGTGTTTTTATGGCACAGACTTCTCCACAGCCTAAGGTGGTAGCTGTCTCCATTTTCTGAACTGATCGGACTGTTCATATGCTTGTAAAGTCAGTTCCTACAGCCTTCCTAGCATTAGAGTTATGTATATGCATGATATTTTCTCTTGCTGATCAGTGAGCTCCTTGAGGACAAGGAGTCTGTCTCATTAACCTTTGGGTCCACACAGTTTCTCTAGCACGATGCGTAGTAACTGTTTAATTAACATTTACTAATGAACGAATCTTGAGAGAAATGCAGCTTTATTACTTGTAAGTACAGACAGTAACAGAAGTACTTTGCAGTTCTCAGGCACGTATCCCCTGAAATCTAACTTCTCTGTTCATTTATATCAGCCAATAGATACACCTACTATGGGTTATGTGCAGATGGTAGATGAGTTAGAAACAGTCTTTGCCCTAAAGGAGTTGGTAGTCTGGTGATGAGGGTAAGACTAACGTTCAGATGCTGTAATCTTAGGTAGAGTAAGGTAAGTGTCATAAGAAAAACACAAAGTAAATGCCCCTTAAATGCTCATAGGGTAAAGAGATTATATCTGCTCAGAAGAGGTTGTCTTTGACAGATGAGCCTTGACAGACGTTTAGATAAGAATGGGTGAGCATAAGTAAAGGATTGGAGATAAGAAAATCTGTGGTATGTTTGGGAAACAGTATAATTAGCAAGTGGTAAGAAAAGGGCTTGGACAGAGAAATGCGCATTGTCAAAGGCTTTGAATGGCAGGACGAAGAACTTGTGCTTGCCTGCAGAGCTCTTTAAAAATGCAGATTCCTTGGTTCCACCTCCAGATGGTCTCATTGTGCAGATCTCAGCATGACTCGAGAATCTGCATTTTTATCAAGCCCCACAGAGGACCCATGAAACCAGCCAACCGTCATGAGTCACACTTTGAGAAACACTAGTTTAAGGAGTGAGTGCTATTCTGAGATTATTCTTCCTCTTGCCATTCTTATCTGAGGTACCACCCCAGCAATAGTATTAGCATTTTAGGTGGAATAAAATGTTTCACATTCATAAAGACTATGGTATACAATTGATTTTGTAGGAAACTGGGAAGTTGTTTGAAGTATTCATTTAGTTCCATAGAATTGTTTTCTCTGAATTTATGTGCTATGAGCTCAATTTCTCAAGAAAATTTGTCTAAACTCTACTTTTAATAGTAATAAAAGTGATTTATAATAGCTATAACTTTGGAAGTAGAACTTTGAATTTATTCAGCATTTATTGCGCTTCTGTGATGGGTGACACAGTTGATAGGCATTGCAGAGAAGCTGGTTTATGATGAATTCTAATGTGTGTGTGATTTGATTTTTGCTCTTATGTTTAAATGGAAAGCAAGGTACTTTTGTCTGGAAACTAATAATTTGCTTCAGTTAAGATTCTTTTTGTGTTTAGGTGTGTATGGTGGGGGCTGCACAGTATTTTAAACAAATCTTACTTTTATCCTCAAAAACACTAATAAGAATGCCCTCAGAGTACTGAGTTATATTTATAGAGCAGATGTATGAGGGAAAAACTTAGAAAAATCATCTTAGAAAACTAATCTTAGAGGACTCAACATTGGGGCTATGCATTTTTAGTAAGCCCAGTGGTAAGAAAACAATTCACTGTAATTGAAACTTCCTGAATTTTTTTTTTCGCCAACATCAGTTGTTTTCAGTAGCAGACAAATAGTTATCACTAATATTGCTCATTGCTTATGGTCAATGTAAAACATTTTATAGATAGTGTTCTGAAGGGTGTCATAAATACCTACGTAATTAAAAAAATATCTAAAACACTGTTTAAGTAAGTCTGAGTATTTTCATTTTTCATAACACTTTTATCCATTGCTATGATAGCTAGATATTGAATGTGTATTATAGAAAAACCCATTAAAATACGATTTCTCTTATATAAGCCTTTTGACGTGAATCTTACAAAACAAGTATTCCTTTTCAGAATAAGTTGAAATCATTGACTTCCAAAGGAGCACCGAATGCAATTTCTGAAGAGACATTGAAAGGTCAAGATTCCTTGTCAACAGCTCCAGGACAGTCCTGTCGGCCGGAGGAACTACCCGGTGCTTCTGGAATGGAGCACACAGACTTAGAAGATGAGCCTCCTCCTCAGGTGGATGAGCTGTCCGCCAGCTTAGACAACCTCAGTGTCGCTGCCCTGCCCGAGGCCACAGTTGTTCGTCCAAACCAGGATTACAACTTAGTGAATTCTTTGTTAAATCTTACTAGAAGTCCTGTGAGTCGTCTTTTTAACTTTTTCTCCCCCTAACATAATCATAGTTACAGAAAAAAAAATTTATTTTGATGTAAAACAGTAAATCTGTTTAAATTGAATTTTTCCAAACAACCTGACATAGATCTAATTCAGGCACTGAAGGGTGGTGTGTCTTTTCCCTCAGGACGGCCGAATAGCTGTGAAGGCCTGCGAGGGCCTGATGCTCTTAGTGAGTTTGCCGGAGCCGGCGGCCGCCAAGTGCCTGACACAGAGCACCTGCCTGTGTGAGCTGCTCACAGACAGGCTCGCCTCCCTGTACAAGGCCCTACCTCAGTCCGTGGACCCGTTAGATATTGAAACAGTGGAAGCAATTAACTGGGGGTAAGAACCCTTATTTGTGTTTTCCCATAAAAGTGACTTCTTAAACCTACACTTTTAAATCCATTTCCACCTTGCAATGAGAGAAATCTTTAGTTTTGAAAAATATAACATTATTAGCGATCATTAAACAGGATTGTTTCTTGAGGCTTGTCTTAAATTTGTTATTGGGAGTGAATTGGTGTGGGCAAGCTGCTTTTCTTTTGTGTGTTATAGTGATCAGTTAAGACCTGATTTGCATTAAGATCAATAACTTTATCTGACCATATTTTTTAAAGAACAAAAAACCCTGAAAGAAGGAACCTTCTTTTTTAATAAATTAGTTCCACATCCCCTGGGGCAGTCTTACAGTTTCGTGACCTGCCTGTATGGGACCTCACCTCCTACCTCTTTCTTTCATCCCTTCCCCCCAACTATTTGATTCTCACATGAATATATGATTATTGCAGAACATTTATGCGTTTTAAAAAATGTAAAACAGCATAAGTAAAATTACCCATAATCCCACAGTCTAATATTTTGACATAATAAAATGTTACTGTTTTTCTGTGCATTTTTAACCCTTGTTTGGTTCTTTCTCTTTTTTTTTTTTTTTTTTTTCATGCTATATTCTATCAACATCTATGGGCCAGACCCACTTGTTAACTTCACTACCTTGGTGCATTTTAAGGCAGGGAGGAAACAGACCGGTCATTTCTTTCTGCAGATCCCCCTTTACGTTCCTTTTCTTCCATCCTAGCGGTTGAGAACCTTCAACTTCTCATTCCCATCACTTGGTCAGATTCATGGTGGAAGTATGAGGAGCTGTCTAAATAGGTTTTCTGCTGTAGCTCCATTCTGTTTCAGTCTCTCTCGTCCCATTAATCAGTGAAAATTATTTGCAACTTTTATTTTAAACGTTTCACCTTTGGTTTCATTTATAAACCCTTCTTCTGACTGTCCTCCAGCTTGCCTGTGCAAATGTACTGTATTGTGTGAGTTCACTCACATGCCTTCCTCTCTCCACATGTACTGACTGCATTAATGCTTTTGGGTAACTTTGGACTTCGCATTTCTTCCGTGTCCTACAGCTTGGACTCATACAGTCATAAAGAAGATGCTTCAGCATTTCCAGGAAAACGAGCCTTAATTTCATTTCTCTCCTGGTTTGATTATTGTGATCAACTTATAAAGGAAGCACAAAAGGTTTGAATATTTTTGTTGTTTATTGATAAAGATGTAACTGAAATTTGAATCCTCAATTTATATCCCTAAAATATGTCTTAATTGTCTTAAATAGCACAGTTAGTGAAATAAATGAAACTAAGTAAACAAACCAAAAACAGTATGTATATATACGTGTGTGTTGTGTGTGTGTATGTGCGTTGTGTATATTACAGCTCTGCAATAAATCACAGTTTGAGTTCTGCCCTTATGTTTCTTTAAGTATTATAAACCCTTTACAAGGTAACACTGACCTCCCTTCATTTCTCCTCTTTAGGGAGATGTTAATACTATAAGGTAACTGGGATACTGTTTTTCTCCTGTTCATCTTGTTCTTGAAAACAAGATAACATGTAAAGGACCCAATAGCTAACATCTAATCTAGGTTTGTATGCCATCAATGAGGTGGTCAGTAGACAAGTTTGTTTCTCCACGTTAATTCAGATGGAGAGTGCTCACTGAGTTATTGATGTTATAAATTAATCTCTCTTCCCCATTAAAGAAAAGGTAATGATACTTATACTATGTTTTAGACTGCTGCTGTTGCTCTTGCCAAAGCTGTTCATGAAAGATTTTTCATTGGTGTTATGGAACCTCAGTTAATGCAAACGTGAGTGACCTCTTTTTTACTTTAAAAAAAAAAAATCCCTGCATCCATGTTATTTTTGCCCGCTGATTACCTGTTTGTTATGGCAGGTCTGAGATGGGTATTCTGACATCAACTGCTCTGCTTCATCGCATTGTTCGGCAAGTGACCTCGGACATTTTGCTTCAAGAAATGGTGTTTTTCATCCTTGGAGAACAGAGGGAACCAGAAACTCTGGCAGAAATTAGTAGACATCCTTTAAGACATAGGTTAATTGAACATTGTGATCACATATCTGATGAGGTAAGCTATGTAATGATTTAGAGTTGGACTTAGATTCTTTGACATACTGATTTTGATGTACTTGTGATGTTCTGAGTACAGCCTCTTTTTTGTGTGGCTTTTCATTTTGAAAATTGAACGTGTGACTTTCAGGATGGCGAGAAGAATAGTTTATTTAAAATATTTTTTCAGTTAGCCTTTGTCATTTTTGGTTTCAGATAAGCATAATGACATTAAGAATGTTTGAACATCTTTTACAAAAACCCAATGAGCACATTCTTTACAACTTGGTCCTAAGAAATCTTGAAGAAAGGAATTATACAGAATATAAACCTGTGTGCCCAGAAGATAAAGATGTGGTGGAGAATGGACTGATAGCAGGAGCAGTGTAAGTTTCTCTCCAACTCTGAGAGCTTAGCACTTCATATAGGGTTGTCGTTTTCTCCCCTCTTATTTCTCTTCCTTGTCCATTAAAAAAAAAAACCTCCAACGGTTTAAAAGTTTTTTAAAAATAAAATTTAGATGTCTTGGTAGTACTGTCCCTTTAAATTACAGGTGGTATTTATCTATTCATTAAACTAAACCTAACAAAGTCAGTGTAGTCTTCTTTGAAGTCTGATGTTAGTATAAAATGTTAATTTCTCTATAAAATATAAATACATTCATTATTCCTTAATTCTTTCATTAGCAAAATTATGTTTTCTGGGAACGTAGCAGAGAATCTTTTGGTTTAGAAAATATAATAAAATGCTTTTTTTAATACATCATTAAATTAAACTTAGAGATCTGGAAGAAGATCCACTGTTTACTGACATTTCACCAGAGACCACTTTGTCCAACCAAGAGTGGCTTAGTTCTTCACCTCCTGCTACTCCAGACCATCCCAAAAATGATGGGAAAACTGAAGTCCATAAAATTGTAAATAGGTGAGTTGCTTTTACATCTCTTCTACTTGTTTTTAGCTCTGCTCTCAGATGGTTACAGAGGTAGATTATAAACTCAGTCTTCCCTTCTTTAAAGGTTGCATCAGCTTTGTGAAATGCTTGTGTAACGAGTGACAGCCTGCAGGCAATAATCAATAGCAAAAGAGAAGATCTACTTAGTATATAAACATAGAAACGAATAATAGTGGTTAAATAAATCTTCAAAGTACCCTACTTTTTTTTGTAATGTAAATAATTTTAAGTAATTTCCAATTGGAACAACACTGAGAATTTCCAGTTTGACAAATTGAATTTATCAGACGTGTACTCACATATGCAAAGCAGACGGCTATTCCTTTGTGTTATTTTGTGTTTTTATGCTGGTTTTTTTTTTTTCAAGTACCCTTTCCCTGGCAATTTTCTTCTTTTTCTTCCTTTGCAATCCTGTCCCTGATATGCCTGGGAGGTAACTTTAGAGAAAACTGCATGTGGTGCGAGATGTGAAATGAGGGTGCATAAAAATCATAGGTGCAGTTACTTACAAACCCGTTTCCTGAGGCTAACAAATCTCATGGCCATCTGTCATTGTGCTGTGATGTAAAAAGAGTCTAGTCGTCTTCTACATGCTCTACTTTAAGTGGAATGAGTAGTTTTTTAATAAAACCTTTAAAATAACGACAGAGTATTGAATCAGTAAATTGTAAAGACTGATTCAAAGTAAGTACTTAATTACATATAATTTTACTTTTCAAGTTTCCATTGGCATTAATACTTGGCTAAACTGAAGATATTGCCAGATATTTTAATACCTATAGAGATACTGAATTGTGAGAGTATTTGCCTTTATTGATCATGGCTTTTTTCACTTAAGTTTTCTCTGCCTGGTACCGGATGAAGCAAAATCATCCTACCATGTTGAGGGCACTGGGTATGACACCTACCTCCGAGATGCTCATAGGCAGGTAAGGAAGTAACTAATTTTTTGACATGAAATCTAGTAAGAATGCACACACACCTCCTTGTCACTTTGCCCACAGCTGTTTCTCCAGCTGTTTCCCTTTTCCTACAAGACCTGGACTCCACTCTCACCACTTTAACCGCCTGCCTGTGACCTTACTTATTTCAGTGACTGTGTGTGTCTGTTTCTCTCTCTTCCCCTTTCTCCTTGTCTTCCCTTTCTTTCTATCTTTGAAATTATATCTCCCCCAGATCCGGATCCTCTCCCCTACTGATCTAAAACGTGATTTTGAAATGATTCTGCCCACCATCCACCACTGCTTCCGACCCGCAGGCTCTTACCCTTTCCTCTTCTCCGCCCCTGTTCTTACTCGAGCAGTAATTCGCAAGCGCTGTCTCTTCCCCTGCCTTCCAGCTTTCCACCTCACTGCAGCTGCTTTCTCAAAGGTCTCCTCTTAGTTATTAACTTAAATGACCTTCTCTCAGTCATCTTTCCCCTCTAGCACTTTACATTCACCAAATTCGAGATTTTGAAATGTCTCAAATGAGAAAGATGTACATTTAATTTTCATTTAAACCCTTTGGATTGAAGTATGCTATTATAGATAATTAACTTGCGTATGTCTGTAGATAATTCATGATGCTTTAAGCCTGAATTCAAGTGCACATTACCCTGTGAATAACTAGATTAATGGGATAGCAAGTACCTTCATGTAACAATAAAACAGAGGCAGTAAAGTGGTACCAACCGCAGTAGTACCAATTGGATTTCTAAACTGCTTTGATTCTTTCTATAAAGGTTTATTTCCGTATTCTGATTAAAAATGCAGTTATGATCATTTCAGAAATATTAGAAAAGAGATACAACAGATAGAAAAATTTTACACTATAATTTCATAAGTGTTAATATAAAAATGCTTTATTAAATATTGGGATCTGATTTTTATAAAGAAAATAATCTCTTGAAAGCCAAATAGTTTAAAATTCACAGTATACTGAAGTTGGCTTTTTAATCACTTTAAATATCTTTTTCTTTTAAAAGTTGAAGTTAGTGCTTCACAGTGAGAATATATTTTGTTTTAATTTCAGGTAATTTCTAAACTAGAGAGGTGAAACTAATTTTGCCTTATTGAATAAGAAGAATCTGAAAAAGGAAAGAATAAGGAAGAAAACTGCTCCAAATTTCTTTTGTGTAAATTCAAGTAAATTGTGTTGTGGGGAAATTTAAAATTTTTTCTTTTTTATTATAGGGGATGTTTTTGTGCTTATAAAAGTCCATATTATGTATCCCACTGATAAACTGTGTAGTGAGGACCAGTGAGGAAGTTTCTTCTAATTTCCAATCTGTCACAGACCAACACTTTTTAAAAAATATAATAAAAATGAATTACTGGAAAAATGAAAAGAAAAAACACAAAATACAAGCCCTGATTATTTTATCAGATTGGACAGACATAAAATTTACTCAGTGAAATTGCGAGAGAAGTTCCTGAACTTGCTGTCAGTTTTGGTACTTGTCTCAGCGCGATGGCAGTGAACAGTCTCCGAACCACACTTGGAGCGGCACTGTTTCCTCTGTCACAGCGTGCCTGGGGAAGCACATCGGAGGAGAGTCAGACTTGCCTTCTCAGATGATGTGCATCTCTTCATGTATTAAAGAATATTATATATTACATGTGACATTTTAGAATAAATTTGAAAATGTGGCTGACTTACTTTGCTTTGTAAATACTCTAAATCTGTGATGAAAATAAGTAAAGGGTTAGATTCCTCTAAAGGAAGGCGCGGGAGCACAGCAGGGAAAGGTGCTCTGGGAGGGTTAGGACACGCCTGTTTTTCCAGCAACCTGAGTGGGTGCTGGTGGTCTGAACCTTCACATCGTGCCCCTCTCCAGTCAGGTGTCACCTACGCCCCTCCTCTCTGTCTTCGTGGCGTCTCACACAGGGCAGACCCGAGCACTCGAAAGGATTTTTACGCCTGTTTGGGGAAATCATTTCTTAATCTCAACTTGGTCTTGGTTAGTTCTTCTTTAATGATCCAAATGCTTTCTCCCTAGTTCCGGGACTACTGTGCTGTCTGCTTAAGATGGGAGTGGCCTGGGTCTCCAAAGGCACTGGAAAAGTGCAATTTAGAAGCAACTTTCTTTGAAGGTCATTTTTTGAAAGTTTTATTTGACAGAATGGGAAGAATTCTTGATCAGGTAATCAATTTTAAAATACTCATATGATACTGTTACCATTCACCGTGAGTTTTCACGTCCTAGTTTAGATCTTCAGTAAAGTGGTTTTAGTGTTTTCTTTTCCTACTAGATGATTTTTTTAATGGAGCTTGATTGCCAACAACTGGTGGGCTTCTGATGCATTCGTTATGTTAAAACTTACTTGGCCTGACAGCCAAATAATTCTATGTTTTGTACAATTGTATGTAAGGCCATTGTCTTAACAGCCTTAACACCTTTTGGCAGTGACTAGAGTGCTTTCCTTTTTTGACTTAGAAAGCCTTTTAGTTAGTACAGATGCAGGTAGAGTGAAACTTGTAAGATTTATTAATTCAGAAAACCTTAAGTGTCATTCCAGGTTGACTCTTGAATGCTCTGGCCTCTTTAAAATTACAGAACAGTGTTAGATGAACCTGCTTCTTCAGACAGAACTTGAGAATGACACTCATTTTCATAAAAGGGAGGTGGAATAAAAGAGGTTAGTTACTTATTCAAAGGTAGATAAAAATCACCATCAGTCGATAGGTTGCTCTTGTCATTCTCACTGACTGTCAAGAGACTTGAATCTGGGATTCTAGAATTCCTCCTTCCCTCTCTCCTTGGCGAACAGAGTGACAGTTGAGCTTTGAAGTATTTTACGCACTGGGATGTACACTTGAAATAAAACAATCTGGCATTAAACTGGCCTCAACATGGAAACTGAGTTAACCAATTTAAAATTAATTTAAAATTGAATATTAAAGTACTTGTTCTTTTTAGCATTTTAGTTAAATAGTTATGTGAACATAGTGAGTTATAAAAGAAGTTTACTCCATTATACCTAACAAAACTGAAAAAGGAAAAAAAAAGATTGATAGATGTTTATGAAACTGTGACCACAATTAAGATAATGAACGTATCCATCACCTCCAAAATTTCCTTGTGCTCCTTTGTAATCCTTCCTGTAGCCCCCCTACTCCTGTCCCCAGACAGCCACTGATATGCTTTCTGTTAATAAAGATTAGTTTGCATTTTCTGGAATTTTATATAAATGGAATGATACAGCAAAAAAAAAAAAGAAATTTACTCAATAAACAGGCTGTCTTCAATAATCAGAAAGCCAAATAGATGATAATTAAGAAGTATTTCACTGGGTTGGACTTTAGTCAGCACTGTTTCTGATAGTAATAAATAAAGACACAGAGTAAAGTCCTTTTTTTCCTTTAACCTCTTAACAGCATGTGCTGAATTTCTAGTGTGTCATTGTTGGCTGGTTGGTTAGCTTTTATGCTTAACAGCTGCGTTTGTATTTCAGTCCACCTACTGCAGGTGTTACGTCTGCACATCATGGCTGTGTAAACCTCCTGGGTGGCGGGATTCATCATTTTATTGTGCTTTTTGTGCTGATTCTCTCGCCTTAGTTGAGATCTGATTAAACTAACATGCAAGAGACATGAACACTCAGCATCAAGTCAGTAATCTTTAGAAATTTTGACCAAGAACACTAAAAAGGAATCTAAACTTTTTTAAAAAGTAGTTTCTGAATTGAGAGGAAGGATCCTCTCTGAATCTTCATCACACTTTTCCCCTTCAGTTTGTGGAGAGCTGACTCAGGGTGCATTGGAGACAGAATGCCCGAAGTGCTCACAGCTCTCTCTCTGTCCCTGAGAACTCTTCAGAGAGGTGATTCGCACACAGCATCTCACTCGTTCTGCCTTTAACCCTGAGTGATAGGCAAGCTAGTTCCTAGTGTTATTGTCCCTTACACAGCAGGAAGCCTTCGTTTCAGTTAATGTGACTTAGGTAGTGCGCTGTGGAGCCTGGCCCAAAACCTTTTGTCTCTAAAACCCTTGATTTTCTAAGCCTTTTTGGGTAAGAACGTTATATAGTCAGGTCTCAAAGATAATCATGAGTCCTCACGTGCCCAGCGTGCTTGGTTTAGTTTCATTTTCTTTCTTTCCTACATGTTTTTGCTAAAGACAATGTTTGTATTTTCTTAGTACATATATATCCCTAATAGGGTCAGGGTAACCAGGCTGGGATTAAACATTTACTATGGATAATTAATGAAGTAGCTATTTCTGCACTTGAAGTTGAAAAGTTATGACAGCAACTATTCATGGCACTATTGTGTTGTCATAATGATAATTTAAAAAAAAAATTTTAGTGCCTTTACTATTGTTCGTAACTGGTGATCTTAAGAGAGTAAAACACTAAGGTCCGTAGCAGAATGTAAAGAACACCAGGAGAAACATAGGGAGGCCCAAGTTCTTGTCCCAGCTCTGACAGGGAACAGTTTGAACTTGGGCAACTAACCCAGCCACTCGTCACGTTTTCTTGTTTTTAAAGGGAAGTTGATATTACTTAATTTGGTTGAAAGAATTAAATGAAAAAAGCAATTTAGAATTCTTTTGAGAATACAAAATCTTTTTAAATGCAGGTATTAAAAGAAATTTCAGAGACTCAAGTTGTTGAGGTTTTTTTTTTTTTTAATTTGACTTAATTCTTATTTTGACCATCTACACATTTGGCTTTAAGTAAAAGGGTTGAGATTGAGTTTGCAGATGACATCAGTATGCTTTTAAGTTAACGTTTATTGCCCTAAAATTCAGATCTTGTATTTGGGGTGAACTCAGTCAAAAATGGACCATGTCCATTTGACATGTCAGAAAAACCCAGTTAGCTTTCATTTCAGGTGAATACTGTATAAAGAACAAAATAAAGGGACCCATAATAATAGATACAAACATTTAGACTGTTAACAGTCCCGCCAAAGGCCAGCTTGTCTTAAAGTTATTACCAATATGAAGTGGAGACCACTTCAGTATATGGTGGAACGATTTCTATTTAACTGGAATTTATTTTCATTTTCACAACATTACAATATAACCTGAAACTAACACAACATTGTAAATCAACTACACTGCAATGATTAATAAATAAATAAAATATAACCTGAGTCAATCTGAAGTTTCTTAAACAACCAAAGATGCAGATTCTTCTTCAAATAAAGCTTAAAACCAAAGTAATACCATATAAAGAAAATACAAAGTTCAAGTGGCAGTATATCCTTGTTTAAAGCCAAATTTTGTCAATTTACTTATTTAGGCACCTGTAAATAGCAGAATTTAGTGACCTAAAAATCTGAATTAACTACCTGAAATGAAGTCACGTACAATACTTAAGTTGTATTTTAAATGATTTTATTCACATTCTTTACCAAATGCATTCTTTTCAAAAAACTTCTTTAAATGTTTCCTTTGTGCCTGAAATAAAATTTAATGTGAATTCATTGTTATGAATTGAATCTTGGAGGAGGTTATTCTGTTGCAAATATTGTCAAGTAGGAGATGCCCTTCAAACTACCCTTTAATAGGAATTGCGTCTCCTTTCATTAATCTTGCTTACGGCTTGATTTTGAAAAAGAGTGACTTAGGGGTAGTTTTATTCTTTCAGAAAATCTATGTTCATGTCTAGTGCTAAGTAAAAATGACTAAAATTGAGCTCAAGTTTTTGTTCATAGAACAGTGTCTTTGATATCTTCTGGCATGTGCTCAAGCATTCGTTGTCCTCTGAGTGCCAAACATTCACTTCCTAATTGATGTTCATTATGATCAAGGGCCTAAAAACTGCTCAGTGAATGAGGGTAAAAATTCAGATCCCATGGTTAGTATTAACTTGGTCCTGAACCACTTTCCCGTCCTCATCACTCATCCACTCACCTGCGTTCTTTCCAACCTTCTGACTGAAGTCAGTTTTGTTTCAGCCACTCAGTTTCATTTGATTGCTTAGAAGAAGATAACTGGAAGGTCTAAGAGATTTCTGTTGAAAGTTCTGGGCACGATAATAGCAACTCTTTTTTTGTCTGTTATGCCTTTGATTTTGACACACCGTGTACAGCATCTCCAAGCTGCTTTCTGTGAAGAATAAACAGATAAAGTATAAAAAATCCGAGTCACCTGTACAGAAGCCTCAATAAACATATGTTGAATAAATTAAAAAAAATTAGAGTTCACGTAAAACTGTGATACTGCACACACAAAACCGTGTGAGGAGCTATATGCAGACATAGTTATTTTGGAAGAGTTAATATTCTTGCAGTAAAGGAAGGGATCCCTGTCTATAATCATGGTTTTGAATCTTCTCATTCACTTTTGAGGCATATGGTTGTCATTTCTATCCCCAAGTACTTTCATCCTGTTGACAGGATTCTGTGATGTATATGACTTTATTGTGTACATGCTTTTGGTAACTGGCAGTAGTTGAATAATTTAAGAGATGAGGAATATCACTGCTAAAATTAGCCTACTATAAAAGATTTTAAAACCATCCCTTCCATCTTTGGTCTTATACTTGATGTGTCTTCTGTTGTTTGTAATTAATATTACGTGTGACCCTGGTGGGCCTTGAAGACCTCTTGAACGCTGTTATTAACTAAAATAACCTGTGTAAAACAGACACATTCTATGTTGTATATTTGTTTTTCTATATGTTTATATGCATGCTTTTTTTCTTTTTAAGTTTTAGGACTGTTGTATGTGTACTTTGATTAAGATGGTAAGAGCTAATTTAGTTATGTATTTTTTCACTGTACAAGAGCATGTAGAGGGAGGAATAAGATGGTAGAATTTCCTTTCTTAAAAAGACAAATCGAAATGATGAATTAAGTGCACAGGTATGTATATCTATTAAATTATAGGTAATGTCAAATATCTTTTTGTTTTTTCCCTCTCCATAGCCATATGATGTAAATTTACAAGTAACCTCAGTGTTGTCTAGACTTTCTCTCTTCCCTCATCCACACATACACGAGTACCTTCTGGATCCATATGTGAACCTTGCTTCTGGCTGTAGATCCCTCTTCTCTGTAATCGTTAGGGTGAGTTACCAGTTTTGTTATGTTTTCTAGGATCGATAAACTTGACCAGTTAACATCTTAGTATCATCGTGTATAATCAGTGTCACATAATGAAAAATGTATCTGCTGTTTAGAAGTATTTTCGTACAGAATGTGGAGGAAAAAGAGATTCAATCTTTTAAATGATACATATAACTTTTGTGCTTTAAGGAATAGATATGAATCCTTTGTCAGAGGTTGTTATGTGAATAGTGAGAGGTGACATTCTTCATTTAATAACAGGAGATGGAGTCGTTTTTTTTATTCTGAAAACCCCCACGTAGTTGTTCAGGAACTGAGTTCCTTTTGTCTCTGTGACGCAGGTTGTTGGGGACCTTATGCTTCGAATCCAGCGTATTCAAGACTTCACTCCCAAACTTCTGTTAGTCAGAAAGCGATTACTTGGTTTGGAGCCTGAAGGCCCTATGTAAGTCTGTGTTCTCACATGTTGTTTATCTAAAAATTTTGCCAGAACTTGATGATCTGCTGATATCTTGATATTGCCTGCCTCCACCCCCGTCCCCCTCCAGGGTTGACCACGTCACGTTGCTGGAGGGCGTGATCGTGCTGGAGGAGTTCTGTAAGGAGCTGGCCGCAGTTGCATTCGTGAAGTACCACGCTTCCTCCACTCCGTAACTAGTGTCTCTCAAGGAACCAAGGGGACAGAGCTACTGTGTTCATTTCATCAAAAAAGACTCAGCTCCACTCAGCCGAGAGAGGATAAAAAGCCTTTTTAAATGAAGCATTGCTGTAAACTGGACAGAACCATTCAGAACCCAATGAGTGGACACTCTCAGTAAATTGTTGTGTAATATTGTTTTCATTGGCTTTACCATAATGGTTCTAGATATAAAGTTGCACGTCCTTGAATCCAGGATACAATCAAAGGAACTTCAGGAAATAAGCATTTCTGATGCCTGTGTGAAAAGCTGCAAAATTTCTGATGTCATGACTTTGATGATATTTCTGTTATTTTAATATCCTTTTAGGTAGCAAGGCATTTTGACATTCTCTGGGACTCAGATGCTTATATTCTTTTGGATTAATAAGTAGCAAAAAAACACCTAATTTTATAACTTTTTAAGGTCAGAATTCTTATTAAACAAAATAAGAAAAAAAAACTGTAAATGAGAAAAACTACAATTCAGGAACCATCAAATGAGTTAATAATAGAAGATAAAAATGTGTAGAGCACCATTAACTTTCTTCAGCTTTTCTAAGAATAACAATTTAATATGATAAAGAAATTCTTGATTAATATAATATATATATTTTTTAAAGAAATGTTCTTTTATTCTTTTGTGCACATAGCCACGTTAGTGACTGACTTTCATGTATGGGTCCCAGTTTATCTAAACTGTGTCATTTTTGCAACAGCGTTGAATCTGTGCTCACCACTGGTAGTGTTTGCTAAAGTAGTATTTTTTGAGCTAATTAACATGCATTGGGTGGAGACCCTTTTTCCTATCTCTCCCTCCCTCTCTGAAAAGTGCTTTATAATTTGATTTTCTTATTGAAATGCGTGGTAGGGTGTAGGTGGCAGCAATCAAAATACCAGTGGCCTCCTGAATGTTTACATTTTTTTTTCCATTTTGTTCACTCTTTTGTTTTAAATCATTCTAAAGAGATTTAAAAACAAACCTACCAACCAGTCTGTCCTGTTTACATATGAAGGAACTTGGGTAAATTGGTCTCTATGTGGATGGGTGTGTATGTGGGCACATGGGGACATGCGGGCAGCTGGCAGCGCTGCGCCGTGCACAGCATGCTCGTACTTGATTTACGTACGAGATGGTGTTTGCTAGTCCACGTCTTATTCTTCCTTTAAGTGATGCTTATCACTCAAATATTGCTTTTAAGCTTTCTTGGTCTGGTTTGGTTTGTTTTGGTTTGTTGAAATGTTAAGCAGCAGCACTTTCCTATTTGTCTTTCCATTTGCTGATATTGGGGGAGCAAATGAGCAAACCTTCCAGGATGAAAGGGACTGTCGCTGCCCCTTCTAAAAAGCTCTTTTGTGTAGCACGTTTGCATCTGTACATCCATCATGTGACGTGTGCATAGAAGCATGTTTTATACCTACTGCTAATTTTGTTGTGTTCATTTTTCTGATTTATTTTATAGTTTTTGTCATCTATTAGGAACAATATCAAAAAGTTGTTAATATTCTTGGCACCAGAATGCTTACCACTGTTAAAACAACAAAAAGACTAAATTTCTAATTTAATGCAAATCCTTGTTAGCTCACTCTAAGAAATTCATTAAGCGAAACAATGAAAAAATAAGTGGGAGACAGTTACTTTGTGCATGATTTTCTTTAAATGATTTCTAATGGTGGGAAAGCATTATTCTGTTTGCTGTCTTTATTGATGCAAGGAACACTGCAACATCTCCATTTAAATGTAGTTTACTTTGACGTAGCCGTATTTAAAATAAGACATTAAGAGATATTAGGTATTTCTTTAATGTTCTTGTAGTGTTCAGCAGGTGTAATGGCAGTGATGTTCCCTCTCAAACCAAAACCTATTTTAATCCTGATTTTCACAGTGGGACCTTAATAGCTAGCTAATCCGTGAAACCAAGCTCAGAAAAGCTTTAACTCATATTTTTGTGTGTGTATGCTGCTTCTTCAAACATAATTATTTCCCTAAGTTATTGTAATGTCTTTGATTTGTAATCAGCTAAAGCTTAAGGTATAAGTTATTTCCCTTCTAAGTGTATTTCTGTCTTTTTTTTCGTATTTACTTCAGACCTAGAGCCAGCACAAGTTCTCACGGTGACTTTGATTTGTTGGTGAAACGTTGTCCTGTGTGACTATTCGTCTTCGTACTGTCTTTCAGAAACTGAATATTTCTGTTACTCAGTACTTGCAAAACAGTGACTGAAATGCATTGTTTGGGGCGGGAAATCCCACCCCAGCAATCAATTGCCATAACAAGTTCCAAATTGAATTGTAGCCTCGCTCCGCATTGGTATGAATAGGTATGCACATTCTTTTTTTTTCTAAACCTCCTTTCTAACAGTATAGTCTTTGAGTTTATTTTTAGTAATGAGCCACATTCTTTACTTGATAGAACTCAAAATTTGTCCCTAGCCAATTACCATTGTAGCACTCACATCTAGCTGTGTAATCTTCTCATAATGTATCTGTGCAATATGGAAGCTATGAGTGGATTCGTAGCTTTTTGGTTTAATTGTACATTATTATGTGTGTACATGTGTATATATATGTGTGTGTGTGTGTGTGTGTATATATATATATATATATATAAGGACCAAAATCCTTAGCTTGCTTACACTGTTGCTAGTGTGAAGAGTATCACACTTAATTTTATGGGGCCCAAATTATGGAATTACTTCATAATTCATGGTAACATATTTCCATAAATTATTGCATTATTATATAATTACCATTTAATTATGAAGTTTATAGATATTGGCAAAAGTTACAGTGAAGTGCTAAAGCCACAATTTATATGATAATTATATTTTGGGCTGTACAAGTAATCAAAATATGCATGTCATTGTGACATTTGCTATGTTAAAACATGGTAGAGAATCACATTTCTGGGCCCTGTAAGATAGTGTTACTGAAATACTCTGTTTTGCCTCCCGCCTTGTTTACATTAAACAAAGGATATTTGGTAAATTTTTCTATTGAACATTGTATAGGTTGCTGACAGTGTTACCAAGGCCTGGAATTCTTGGGCCATCTGTGAAGAAAGTCTTCAGATGGTGATTATGTACCTACTGTCACTTCAAAGGAGGTTGTGATCAAGTTCAACTTTTTGTGCTAACAATGCATGCAGGACTAAGAGGGATAATGTAAAAATAAATAATGTAATTTAAACAGAGTGTCTTCTTACATTTTTGTAGAATTCTAACTGGAAACATTTCATTCACTGATAAATCCAAAACAATATATAAATGACATATAAATGGATATGACACACAGCAGTCAGTGGTTCACTATAGCACTGATTCCAGAGAAAGAAAAAAAGGAATATATCTGAATATTTATGAAGGGAGAATGTAGAGCCTGGTACATGCATTCCACCCCACTCCTTAATAATCACTTCCCTAAAGGAAGGAATGTTTATGCAAGTCTTAGAAACACAATTCATTGTAAGCACTATTTCTTCATATATTTATAACACATATAAACACTTTTTAACTGACATCTAAAACAGGTAGGCTCTAGGCTTACTCCATTCACTTGAGAATTTGCCAAAGCCCCGTAACTGGAAACAAACGTAATACACGCACAACCGGAAAGAGAAAAGTCCTAGCTATTAATCCCACCTGCCCGTGATTCTTTGTGGTTAGTTACTCAAAATAGTTGTAGAAGGAAATGAAGAAGATAACAGGTTTAAGGAGGTAAGGTTTAGGCATTGGAGAGTCAAAATTACCTCCTTGCCTTGAGTTCCTTCAAAAGAAAACTGCATTTTAGCAGTGCATGAGATCCCCAGTCTAAAAACTTGGTTCAGAATGTTACAGTGTTCCACCTAGAAAAATATCTCAAGGGAATTCAAAGAATTAGCATAAGATTGTTACAGTTGAAAAATTTTGTTAGAATAACTCTCAAGTAGAAACTATAATCTCTATAAAAATTTTTTTTAAAAAAAGGAAAAACTGCATGACAGTTGATGCCAAAGGTTCTATGGGAAAAATTGGTTTTAGTTGGTCTAAAGCCAATTAGGAAAGCTGTTTCTTATGGGTCTTACTCATAGGAGCCTGGTTTTTTAAGTTTACTTGACCTACACCCCCACCATCCACATCAGAGAGATTCATCTAAGCCTGTTTGATGTACTCTTAGGATTTGACTCGTGTGCATTAGAGATTTTATTCGTGTTAAAATATCATTTCTAAAAATCTCAGAAATGTAATACTTCTTTGTCATCCAAAAACCAAACAATTTGATCAACAAATACTTATTGAGAGCGAATTTCTATGAACCAAGTTTCAAGGTGCTGGGAAAACAAGCATTTCTGCCCACAAGGAGTCAGTATCGGTGAGGGTTCAGTGTGCTTACAAAAGTGAATGACAACACACATCAGTGAACACGTTAGAGAAACAGCACCCAAGTGTGAGAGCCCAGGAAGAAGGAAGTAGTGGTGCAAATCACTGAGAGGAAAAATGTGAAACTCGAGGCTTGGCTGAATGATACTCTTACTTGTGAGTATAGATGGGCCGGATGTTCTGAGAAGTCATAACCACAAAGGCAGCTCAGCAAGAAACGGAAAACTGTTCTGTATCCTATTACGTTTACTACGATGAACTGTTTCCTTCCACCTTCTTCATTCTGAGATTGGTACAAAGCACCAACCCCAAGAATGGTGCCTTTGGGCCCATTGTCTCTTAGTTGATGAATAATAATTAACTGTTCTCATTTAAATTATCTCTTTCTAGAACTACTGTGTAAGAGAAGGCAAAAAGTCAATCAAAATATTAAAACGCAAAGATTTAAGAAGGCTTAAAAAATGATCTGAACATTGGGGGTATGATTTGGTTTAGTAAAAAATGTGTAGAACAAAACCTTTCTCCTTGCTTGAACTCAATGCTGCCTTGACCACATGCTTTATTCTCTCCTGGGTTGGGGCACAAGATTGCTGCATACCCAGTTAAGAGAGAACCAACTGAGGTTGATGCAGATGGAAGAGGTGAATTTGGGAGCCACGTACTGCCTCTGTATGAAAACCTCCGCTGGGTTCTCATGACTCCGATCCATTCCTGAACTTTAAGGCAGGGGTCAGGCTTGAAAGCAAGTGGACAGGCTAGGGGGTCACACCTGCCAGGAAAAGATGACAAGACCTGACTTCTGTTTCCTTTCCTAATCCTCAGTCTTCGTGAGGTGGCCTCAAGGAATTACCTGATCTCCCAAGGGTAAGTCTAAGGAATTAAAGGAAATTCAGCGTGCTTTATGGTTCTATATTACCTTACTCTTCTCTCTAGACTAGTCAGTATATCAAGGAATAGACAGAGATTCTTTTAAAGGGCATTAAGGTAATGATTCTCTTGACTGAGTAAGCAAATCCTTTCACAGAAGCAGGACCAAGTAGGACTGTCAGATATTCATGGGTTCATACTACCATGGGTTACTTTGCTCTCATCGCCAAGGTGAGGAGGTGAGGGTGCGGAGAGAAAGGAAGACATCCCCTGAGTTTTGTAGCTTAGTGTCTTAGTGGTACCCATGGTATGTGCATTCATTTGCATGATGATCATTCTATTAATTTCTTGACACAATGTTTAATTCCAATGATGTGCTAAAGCTTTCAGGGATAACATTCAAGTCAGAGGATCCAAATGAGCCAAGAACACGTCTTGGGTCTAACAGACCACTCTTTTAAAACACATTTTTCAGTTGAGAACTATAACCAGAACTGTAAGCTTAAAGGGCTATGTGTGTTTTGGAAGAGAAATTTAAAAAAAAAGAGCAAGTGACACGCCCAGCCTGGGAGACTAGGGAAGACAAAGCAAAAACATCTCCAAGTCTGTTACTGCCTCAGGCCAGTCATTTATGAGTATGGAATCATAAAATCAATTTCACTGTAATGCAGAAGGATGAGATGGCACGCAAATTCTCTGCAGTCTGGATAAAGTTATATTTCAAAGCCCTGAAAATGAGATTCATTTATGTAATAACATGAGAAATGTATTCCTCATTCCACTCACCAGTAAAATAACACGTAGGGTTTTAATTGATTAGACTTCCCAAGAGAACCATGTACGAGGGATTTCTAGAGGGAAACAAATGAGCCATTCCTTAAACATCATTCTTCCACATTTAAACGATACTTTCCTTCTTAAATCTCTTTATCCTGTTGCTCTTAACAACAGTGCAGCGAGCCACAGAGCATTTTACAGTTCTACACTCTTTGTTGGCTGCTTCAATTATTTGCGTGCCCTGCGATCTTTGTTTTCATTCTGTTCTAGAAATGATTAGGAAATAGAGCATCTTTTTCTTGAGTCGAATTGGCGTTGGGCTCCAACAGAAATGGAAGCTGAGAAGAAAACGTCTCCTGTTAGGATATAAATATTACCCCAACAGCCCATACACCTTGGACTCCTTGACAATAAACTGGTTCTATTTTATAAAGATCTGCAGTTTCCTTACAATGATCTAATGTGATGTAGCTTCAAATAAGCCTTTCCCTGAAAATACTGTTGGCAAGAGCACATGACTCATTGGAATTAAGCTTCGAACCACACCCTAAAAAGAATAAAAGCTGTAAATACAAATGTGCGTAGCAATCTCTGAGTATTTTCCTTTGGAATTTGACATTGAAATAAAATTTGCACAGTTCTTCATGGCTGGAGACTTTTCATGCATAGCTTATGATTGACATTCATTGAGTTCTGAGTTTTTAAAAGAAAAAACTGATAGATATCTTACCAAGTAGTGTTTTGCTCATTTATTATCATTTTTATTTCAATAGAAAGAAAAAGACAAGGGAAGTGTAATTAATTTGACATAGATAATTCTGGGCTAAGCGTTTCAACATCAACACCGTGTTAAGGCTGTTGTGAAACGTTCTTTGTCCTCATTACAGTTTGCCACTGCTGTACTTTCTGACACAAGACCACTGTATTTTGGCCCTTCCTCCAGGCAGTTGTGTGATCAATCCCCTCAACGGATGCCATTAACTCCTTAAAACAGAAATCCTCACTTTTCTGGTTAAGCGAGATGTTGGATAGATCGATGTAAATGCTGAGTTTTTCTGCTGATTCCAGAGTTATTTTTAGAAAGATCTTGAGAGTTTCTCAGACCCTGCATGACATTTTTTATCTGCAAACTTTCAGAAATCCCTGCATCACCATGGAAGCTGAGCTGATCCCTGTCTCTTACAATGATATTTTAAAAAGAGAAAGAAAGAAAGAAAAAAAAAGACGGTCGTTTTACAGGAGTAGTTAAGCTGCCTTCAGCACCCCTCTTCTTCAGACCACAGACTTCAAGAGGCTACAACACTTAGGCCAAAGGCAGGGCTCTGGTCTCCTGATGTGACTTTCCAAAATCATCCTACTCGGAGTGGAACAACCTTTCTAGCTAGATACATAAAACACTATAGTTGAGTACTGTGTTTGTAAACATGGAAGTCTGAGGTCCAAAATGGATTGTACTGTGTCGCAGGATTATGGTAACACCATCCAGGATGCTCAACCAATGTTTATTAAAACCCTGTCTGGCTAGGGCAAAGGGAGAGGAATCCAAGAAAGCGTGTATCTTTGAGAGGTTTGTTTTTTAAAGTAGTGGGAATAAGGCAAGTCCCGAGCAGGTTGTTAAGATATTGTCCTTTCAGTTCCAAATCCGCTCTTCTCCATCCTGCTCGATGGTGCGGGGCTGCGACTCTGCGGACTAGATTTCTCCTTTGCTAGCTGGCTCTCTGCTAGGTCTGGTCAGTAAGGGGTTCCCGAGGGAGGAGGGGAGACTGGGGGGAGGAGGAACTTCTTTGAATTTGTTTGCTGTTCCTGACACACCACCTCAGCAATGGGTTCTCAGCAGTTGGTTTTGGCCTCTGAAGCCCTTAAGCTCTCCCAGAAACAGCTTCATCTGCCCCCCTCCTCACTCTGAGGCGGCCTGGCAGCCTGG